ACTAGAACTCACTGTCTCCTGGTGATTGGTCTAAAGTCTCCAGCCAGCTTTCATGTCTTAAACTAGAACTCAGGGGTTTCCTGTGATTGGCCCTGAGTCATCCAGCCTGCTTTTGTGCCCAAGATGAGACTAGAACTCACAGTCTCCTGATGTTTGGACCAAAGTCATCCAGGTGGCTTTGATACCCAAAGCAGAACTAGAGCTCACAGTCTCCTGGTTTCTAGCCTAATACCTTCACTAGTACACGAAACTTCATGATTAAGTGCATATACTTTTCATGGTGATGTGATCTCTAGTATCAACTAGAGTTAGGAAATACCTTGAAGATCCTCTTACATGAATGGACAGTACTGAAGCTATAGACCTGGTGTAAAATCTTCTTGCGTTTGTAGGATCAGAGACTTTGCTGGCAGACCTCGTTCTGGGTCTTCTTTGCCTGATCATGGTAGACCAGTGGAGTTGGCTGTGGTCAGAGAACATGCAGAAGATCCTACACCTGCTCTTTGGGACATTGATTCAAAGGTAAGGTTTTAGCCATGCAACCAGAATGAACACAACTGGAACTTGGCTCTAGGGAGGTGCCTTGCTCTTGGTGTGAGTATCAAGCAAATGGTGGTTTTGAGTTGATTCTAGAAATTGGAGGACTCCACCGGAAAGGTCGTTTTCTTAAATGATCACCTGCCTCTCTAGATAATAAGCGCTTGGAAGTTTTCCAGAAATGGGCTTGCAATGATCTTCCGATTCTGTCTTGCTCTTAAAAGAAGTTGCAAGCGAGGGACCAAAACACTGTCCAGAATGAACATCACCCACTGAAATGTACTTATATATGCCAACAGAAGTTTGGGTTTATTGACGAACCAGCTCAGCGGTGATGTGGATGTTGAATTTTTTTGCTGATGGCCTGTTCATCACCCCTCCCCCCCTTCTTTCCCTTATACCTGGCAGCCCCGAAGGGCAGCTGTCCGGGGGTTCGAAGGACATCATATTCACAGTCTAGCTTATTCCAACTATTTCGAGCAAAGGTTGCCAAAAAATGTTGAGGTCAAGGGAATGCTAATAGGTACGAGCCTGCTGATTTTCTTTTTAAAGATAACCAGGTCAGGAAAAATGAGCGCGCTTCCGAAAATGAGCTTTTAAAAATGGAGCGAACAAGCGGGAAGCCGATACCCTTGCGGAGAAGCTGCTTGGAGGCACGAGGACATTCAAGGGAATGTCATATCTCACTCAAAATGCTGGACTGTCACCAGCCTGGGGCAGCGCTGATAAAGATGTACGCTTCTTCGAAGAGAAGGGGGGGTGACGTGGAAGTGAATCCCAACCGAGCTTGCTTGCAAACATTCCCCGTGCAATGTTGCAGGTTAAGACAAAAATGGTAGTTTGGGCACCTGATTTTGGTTCGGTTTCAACTGTTGCAGACCAGGAGAAGTAGCGTGCAAAACGGAAGGGTTTAATGCCCCACCTTAGTAAATTAGAAAAGAATATAATAGAATTAGAACAGAACAGAACAGAATAGAACAGAATAGAGAACGGAATGGAATAGAACATGGAATGGAATTAGAATTGGATTTAAAATTAGAATTAGAAATAGAATAGAATAGAGAATGGAATAGGAATAGAATGCAGAATAGAATAGAACAGAATAGAATATGGAATGGATTGGAATGGAACTAGAATTGGATTTAGAATTAGAATAGAATAGTATAG